TTTAGTTATTTTTTGACAGTAAATGACCGAACCGTGATCAAGAAGTCAAAATTTTCGAAAAAAAAATTCACATGTTAAAAAATACCATGTATAGGTATGTACATGGAAATGACTTTTAAAATATTATTTTTTCAAAAATCTCTCCTAAATGAACGGTGAGCTATATATTTGAGACTACAGTTGTGCATTATGACATAAAAGGAATCGGATAGACATGGTCTCCCAAATACGTTGTTTCGAAAATCGGTATTTTTTGATTTCATACGATCGGACCATTCGCACATAATTCTTTGCAGAGATAGAATAAAGGTGTAATTAGGTTTTTTGTAGCCTGTAATGCGTGCTACAAAATACAGTTTAGTATATCGTTTTATCTTTAATCTGTACAAAGTTATGCTTTTTTGAATGAACTTGATCCACTTTTTCGGAAAAATCACAAAAGTTTTGCCATTCTGCTCAACCTGCCTATGGGCACCTTATATCATCCGTTTTGTGCTATTCCAGCGACGGGACATTTTTTGCCACCAACATCTAAAAAAAAAGCGAAATTTCACTTCGGGTACTTCCCCTGTTAGTACACGGAACGGATTTTCATGAACTCCTCCCCGATTTACAAAGTTGGTGGAACATAAAAATATGCATTTCTCTGTCATAGTGTTCACATGTTCCATTTTATCGTTATCCGTGCGTTAATGGCCGGCAAGATGTGACCGCGTACCTCAGCTGACATTTGCATTTTGAGCTCGACTATCTCGGTTACTATAAGAGATATTTAAAATTTCCCAACTGATAAAATGTTTGTCACAATGTCAACAGCATTTTTATTGTTGACAGATTTTTGATAGCTGTCACAGTAATTGAAATAGTGCTCATGGCAATAGAAACACATTTCCCATGGCTGGATAGTAAATCTTCAAAAATACTCTTAAAAGTGCAGAATCATTAGCGTAATTAGCATTAACACATTACCTGTAGTTTCAAAAATGGTTGAAAATATGAGAATTTTTGATTTTCACCAGTTTATAGAAACCTACATAGAACGTTCAATGAGACTTCATAAATACCAAAGATTTATAAAATTTAATTTACGAAAATAGTAATCTGAATGTTTCTGGTATTAATGTAACACTCGTCAGTGATGGGGAAAACTATTTTTCCCGAAATACGGAAAATGTAGAAAATGAAACTCGAAAAACTATGAAAACGAGACAATACTGAAAAATAAAAAAAAACATAACGTTTTTTTACAGAACAATCAAATATGGAAACGGAAATTCCTCTGATGGAGAACATAAGCAAAATCGATAAATCGAAAATTCCTCCACTGTTTAGAAATTTAACGAAACAGAAAAAGATTCTTTCAAAAAATATAGAGCATTTTAATTCAAAAGGTTGAATAAAAGTTTAGAATATAGTTAAAGGAGGCGAGACAGCAAACATTTTGGGGGGCAGTTTGGGGGGCGAAATCGCGCCGCGCTTATGTAGATCATCGGTCGGCAGGCACCTTCGCGCTCTCGTAGCTCAGCCGGTAGCGGCGTTGTACACAGGTGATTCGTGATTGACCAATTACAGAAGAAGGGCTATAATCGACCAATTACTTATCTACCGCGAACGAGAAGTTCTACAATTGACCATTCGCGAGCAAAATGCGTGTTTTACTAACTGGCCCTATAAAAGGTCCACAATTGGACAATCGCGAAGAAATTCTTGTTTTTTTTTTTCCGAACTTCTTTTTCTTATTTTGGATGTTTTACTTCTTTTTTCGCCGTTTTCTTCGCAGTTTTTGTTCGGAATCTATTAATTAACATATAATACTATGTTAGAATACTGTATAATCATGAGTGTATCGTTTTGTTTGCAGAAAAATAGAGAAAATGGCCGGAAGACAAAAGTCGGAAGCAAGAAGCCGAAATTTCGAAAAACTCTGGAAGAAGCATTGCTTCTGTACTTTCAAAAGGTAAGAAGCGTCCAGAAAATCCGAATTTTTAATCTAATTTTTACAGGGTGCCAGAAAATCTCAATTTTCCTGTATGTCGACTGGGCACTCCGGAAAAATGCAACTGAGAATGAGGAAGGAAAAAATTCTGGAACAGTGGGTAAATTTGAAAACGAATATCAGAGAAAAAAGTTGATTTCAGACGGAAGTGTTAAGTTCGCGGATTTCGAAAAAAATGTCCAGTCGATAACTTGTGTCAGAGGTTCAGTTACTTCGAAACAACAATCAACATCATCTTCTGCTCATCGTCATCGACTGAGGCAAAAATGGACAAAACGAGAAGCTCCGATGCCGTTTCAGCCAGTTCGACAACAGCGGAAGAGAATAATATAACTTAATAAATTGTTTTTTTCGCTTTTCATTGTTTTTTCTGTGTAATAAACAATTTTTAGCAGCTGCTAGCTTCCAGATTCGAAACAATATATGCCAATTATTGCTCTCGCGACAAGCCAATTGTAGGAGATTTGCTCGCGATAGGGCGAATATTGGTCGTTTGCGGTGGCGCGTTCGCGATTGGTCTGTAAATGGCCTGCAGCAGGCATGTTCCGATGTACGCATGGCGACTTTCCGCGAACAATATTTCAGCTATTATAGACGCTGCGCGAATCACCTGTGTACCCCTGAGCTGACCAGCATGAGTTCAACTCCTCATGGGGGTTCTTTAGGCAAAATATCAGGAAAACTTTTTTTTAAATGTCTGGCTTCCTTTAACAAAGAAACCTTCAATTTTATAGTTGACAACTTTCTTGTAAAAATTCATCCAAATGAGATATACCGCTTAAAACTAATCAAGTACCGAACTTTGAAGCGGCTAATCTCTTTCGGATGCATTTGTACAAAAAAAAGGTGTGAATTATACAAAAATAACATGAATTATTTTCAAGAACTGATTATTGAATAAACAACATACAAAAAGGAATATTGTAGTGAAACGGAACATTTCAGAGTTGAAGGGTGATAGCACATTATTAATTTTCAAAAAAAGCCTGAGGAAATTCTCAAGGCCCGGGCCCGGCCCGGAAGGCCCGGTCTCAAAAATTATGTATTTTTGAGCCAAATTTTGAGCTCTCAATATAATTTTCTTCATTTTTTTGTTATTTTGGATTGTTTGTCTGTTTGCTCTAAAAATATCGAAAAAACTCGAAAAAAAATTTTGGTCGAAAAAAATCACATAAGGGTCCCCCCTGATGTGTTTTTTGAAAATTTCAAAACTAGTGAAATGACGGGCCCGCCGGGCCGGGCCGGGCCTCCGAAATTCCGGAAAAATCCCGGCCCGTTACAAGTATGCAAAAAATGGTTTCTTAAAATTCTGCCTATCCCTTGGAAGGTGTGGACAAATTGGAAGGTGTGGATCGAATATTGAAGGTGCCGCTACACGGTCGAAAAGTCGGTTCATTGCCTCCATAAGCTCATGAATAAGCCCGTTTGAAGTTTTCCAGAATAAGAAATAGCTGGAGATGTGATTTTCATCGAGAAAACACCAAATTGCTGTTTCAGCTGAAAATGGTTAATTTGATTGTAAAAATGAGTGCAAAGAAAATCTCGCCAAAAAATTGGAACTTTTCTTGTATCTGTTCAGAAAGTGACTGTACAAAAAAGTTAAAAACTAATTTAAAACATCGAAATAGAGTTCTAGATTTATTCACAACTTTTGCAATTTTGAAAACGATTATTTTTTTTCCAAAAACTTCTGTTTCGAAACTTGAGAATAACCTGTGAAGCTATTATTTTAATACTACGAGTAATTTATTTATACCGAACTTTTGAAAAATTGTTCAAAATCATATTTCAACATAGATGGCATATGTGAAACGGCTAAAAAAAGTTTCATGTTTCAAACAGTTCATGAGATCAGAAATTTTTATGCCAATTTCGGTGTTGTCATGTAATGTAGATCACTGTCTCTTTTTCGTATTGTTGGTTTGTTTCTTGTAGAATACCGTGAAGCCAATCCAATTTATCTCGTTTACTGTGAAAGATATCAAAAAGTGGTCTACAGACAAAAAGTGTTTAATTTTATGGTAAATATTTTTTTAGTTTATCACTTTTTGATTTGTTCTACAGGGGCCGAGATAAATTAGGTCAAGGTTTAAATGAGCCGTCGGTCGGCATACAACCGCGTAGCTGAACCGATTTCTTGACCGCGTAGCTCTAGCTAAGTTCACAACGATCAACTCAACGGATGCAAATCAGTGTTTATAGCTTGACCTTAACTTGCGTAAGACTTGTCCATATCTTGCCCATGGCCTGCCCAAGCAAAACCTCTAACGGATAAACAGCGGCTCAATGGCGGGCTCAAGATTCAATTAGCAAGCATATGCACATGAATTGCTCAAGTACTGTCTATGATTTGCCCATTGACCAAGAAAAACCTCCAAAGGGTACCGGGAGGCTCAACGGCGGGTCTACGATGCTCAAGTAGAGCGACACATGCCTTGCCCATACTTTGCCAATGTCTTGCCCATGTCTTTCTTAAAAACAGATCTCCACATACGGTCAAGATCTTATTCTCTGTAAAAATGTTCTGTTTCACAGACTGGATATTTTTGGCTTATTTTTCATAAAAAAATGATACTGCTTCTGAACTGATTTGCTCTATTCCCCACCATCTCCTAAATTTCTCAACGCTGTCTCACCCCGAAAAAAGAGCCACACCCCTCAGTATGCCACCACTTTTTAATGCCATTTGTGTATTCGCTGGCTCTCCCTCTTTATGTCCTCCCGAGACCGACAAAGTGATAAGAACGTCGCTTTTATGATATTAGTGATAAAAGTAAAGTGCCACGACACACTTTTTTCTTGTTGAGACAATTTTTCTTCGATTTTTCAGTGTTGCTCGGTAAATATATACGAAGGATGAAGAATTTGGCTGTAATTGGTGAGTTGGTTTTTTAGTGCATTAGGAAAATTGGGTCTGTAAAACTCAAAAGTTTTGAAAAGGTGAAAATTCAAAAAGAAGCGACAATAGTGATTAAGAATAGTAAACTAAACTTTTTGTGAGTGTTTTGAAACTGAAAAAAAATGTTAAAATTCGAAAAAAATTAATGTTTCAAAATTTCCATAAATTCCAGTTACAGTGTACCAGAATCAATAGGAGGCTTATATTTTTAAAGATAATCCGGAAAATTAAAAAAAGGAGAAACATGAAAAAACTAATTTTCTCAAAATTTCGTTCATATGAGCCTCTCGAGAAGTTGAACTTTTGAGACCACCGTTGGAGATACCGCGTTGCTACCAGCTGAGCTAAGGTAGCGGCACGATACTCAAGTGTTGTGTGAACACCGATCACTGTACACCGTCACATCAGAATGCATACTACTTTAACTGATGTTGGAACTACATATAAAGTCTGACTATGGAGCAAAATATCCGATTCTTCTACATTTTGAAATCGCAGTTTCGAAACAGAAAATTCTCAAATTTCAAATTCGAACAAAAAGGTTTCCTCTACATCTCCAGAACCTTTTTGCGTATTCACGGGTTGTTTAACTGCTAAAACTTTAAAGATAACAACATCAAAGCAAACAAGCGAATTTTTTGCATTTGAAATCGAAGTTTCAAAACAGAAGAATTTTTCTAGAATTCAAAAATTGAATAAATTTGAGAAACACTTTTTTTCTAAAATTTCGTTTTTTTTTTGAAGTCTTTCGGAGAAGTTAAACTTATGGACCGGATATTGAAAACGCGGAATTGTTACAAATTGAGCTACGCGTTAGGAAGTGTTGGCCGTGATATCGTGTACATCGAATAAACTATCATACAATCAAAAAGTTCTAGTTATCTCACAGTTGCGAAACATAAATAATTTCTAATATAAAATCCAAATTTCAAAAAATATTTCAAACACCTAACACATAGGTAAATGTTTTTATGTCCTGTTAAAGGAACATTGTCTTCTATATTTTGCCCATAGAAGCTCCTAGGGAAGCTACACGGATGGCTATCGATCTTGACAGTGTAGCTCTGCAGGTAGCAACTCTGCATTTCTAGTGCCTTGCCCACGACCTGTTAACGGGATTCTGCTAGTCAAAACTATTGTTTCCAGCCTGCCTCCTACTGGCCATCACCACCACCGCCACCTTCGCACAGGACTACCCATGCGTCGATGCTAAATTCCAAGCATGCCAATATAACATGGCAATGCAACTGGGTCTCAATGACACTGTTTCTGCTCAGCTCTTCAAGGATTATACCATCATGTACAACTACTTTTTGTACATGTTCGGAAGAAATCCGGGACAAACTGCCGATATGTTGACGGTGTGCAAGTGAGTGAAAGGGTAGGGGAGTTCAAGGACCCATAACTCGGCTCCAACTCGGAATTTCGGATTGAAATAAAAAGGAGAATGTAGAACTTTATAAGATTTACGAAATGATACATAATTCAACTATTTTCGATTCCCGAGTATTTAACCAGGCACTGAAGAAAGTCGGTCTGAGCTACCAGTTATTCACGGCTTCTAGTTTGAAGCTTGAATTTTTTGGGACCTGGTTCAAAACTCAAAAGTCAAAAATAGTCGAATTATATACCATTTTGTAGGCCTTTTCAAGTTCTATACTTTATTTTTTGATCCGATCAGAAATTATAAGTTTGGGCCGAGTTATGAGGGATTCAAAATTAGAGGATGTGATCAGGGGAATGAAAGTTATATGACATAAAGTAAAATTGATGTGAAAATACACTAATCCACAAAAAAATTCCGGAAATTATGATAATTTTGAAACAGTATTCTAGGAAAACAAAATTGACTAAAAGTTTTAATTTTTCGGTTTCACTAACTTTCTGGAAATCCAAAAAAAATATTTTTTTTCAGTTTCACTAACCCTTCAAAAATAATTTTTGTTTTTTCTAATAATAATCGTGTTGTGAGAAAATTCCTAATAATCGTATCAAAAAGCTGAAAATATTTTTTTTTTAATCCAAAAAATGTCCCAAAAAGTTTCCAGCAGCCTTGAAACTTTCAATCTGTGCATGCACGGAAATCGCGGATGTCTGGATATCTCGAATTTGATCAAGAAGACCGATATTAATAATGTGAGTGATTTTTAAAGAAAAAGTGAACTACAAAAAGTCAAAAAAGACAATTTTGAAAAAAAAGGAGGAAGATTTTCTAGAAATTTCCATGACATGTAAAAGACATACCAATTATAGGCTTACGCCACAGAGGCCACCTACCGACAATACTCGTCCTTCAACTGTGGACCCGGAATTAATAGTGAGTAGTTTTTTTGAAAGATTGCTGTAGTTTTAAAAAAATTTCTATTATTGACAACTACCTTTTTTCATCACTGCGACTGCGAACGTTAGCTATTCTATCGCTTAGAAGCTCTACACTACAAACTACAAACTACAAACTACAAACTACAGCTTTCAGCCCTTGAACACGAAGGACTCACCTGCCCACAACGTGTCCTTAACACTCAAGCCAACATTCTTCAAGGATGTGTCCAGACCTACATCACCAACGTCGCTAACGATGGAATTAATGGATGCAAGTAAGTGTCTGGGGATTGCCCATAGCTTGCCCATGACTTGCCCATGACCAGCAATAGCAAATCCTTTTAACGCATGAATGGCGGGGCTGATTCTTACGCCATCCTCATTTTTTGCCTACAACTTGACCATGTCTTGCCCAAGTCATTGTCATACCTTGCCAAATGTCATGCCTACATCTTGCTCATGTTATGCCCAAGCACAGCCTTCAACGCGTGAAAGACGGCTAAACGGCAGGACCAAGATGCGATTAAAAAGCACATGTACATAGCTTGCCCGTAATTGCTCAAGTCTTGCCCATCTCTTGCCCATATCTTGCCCAAAAGCCAATTTTCAGGTATGGTCAAGACCTCATGAACTGCTGGTCAGCCCCATTCCAAACTGCTTCATGCCGTCGTGAGAACGGAGTTGCCACCTGGTGGGCATGCGAACAAAACAAGGTTTTCGTCAAGACCACCTTCCCAAGTTGCCCATTGGCATGCGATGGTAAGTGCGCTCCATTGATAATTTCATTTTTAAGGGTTTCTTGTCGTTAGAGCGCGTTTCACATGTTCGGGAGGTACAGTAGAGCTCGTTAAGTTTCACGAATTATTTTCGAAACTTAAATCAACATTGAAACGCATTTTCTAAAACAGTGAATTTCAGAAAAATTCGGACCATTCTTTGGTGCAAGTGCCAATTGGCTCGATACTCACCATAAAGTCGTTGACGGAGAACACTGGTTCAAAATGCCGGATACTGTAGAGAAGCACGGCAACGAGCTGGTTACTGTCGATGGAGTTTGGCTGAAATAATTTTTTTTTGCTGAAACTTTGAAATTTTGCAACTTTGAAAAAATTTCCAAAAATTAACTTTTTCAAATAATTGATTAATAATAAAGCTGTGGTTTTGTATTTATTGCTTGGATCGTGATATCGAGTGAATTGAATTTTGTAAAAAAACAGAAAGAAAGCGAAAAGTACACAGCAACTTCGCTCTATTGACAATTCTTTACAATTAGCGGTTTTTGAGCTTTTTAACTATATTTCTTCACAGTTTCTTTTATTATTTAACAAATAAGCATTTTTCCAATTAAAAACAATTTGAACCAAATTAATTTTCCGTTTAATTACTTTGAAATAAACACTAAATTGAGCACAAATCAGTTAAGCCTTATTTTGAGGCTAATTTATTTTGTTTTGTTTAAAACCCTATTGAACAACATAAAATACACTTTTTCTACAATGTTTATCAAGTTTCTCTTTGAAATCCTGATTGAAAACCAATAAAAATCATAAAAATTCTTTCACTCGAGATCTGCACGAGAAAAAATCCGAATTTGAACACCCGCGCAAAGTTGCTAAACAACGCGCGGGGTGTCCAAACGGAGTGTCGTTGCTGCCAAATTAAAGGCGCATTGAGTTTCCCGGCTCGTTGCGTCTCGCAGGGAAGAGCCGCACCGTCGGAGTTTTTTACGGGCTTGCTTTTTTAATTATTTTTTTCCAGCTCGACGGCTTTTTTGCACTGATTTTTATCAATTTTTTGTCTTTTTTAGGTCGAAAAAACGTATTTTTCTTAATTTTTTTTGTTTCAAACTAATTTTTAGGGTTTTTTTTCCAGGTAATATGTCGCTCTCCAGAACCAGTCAGCTTCCATTCGCCAAGCGGCAATTTTTCCAGATTTTGGCCCGAAGTTACAGCAATACACAAGGTAGAAATCGAGAAAGATAAGGGATTTTGCAGGAAAATTTGAAAAAAATATGTGAAAAATCAATTTTTCCGATTTTTGCATAATTTTCGAATTTTCTGTTTCAAAAATCACACACACTTTGAAAAACTCGGAAAAAACTGAAAAAAGTGCTAAAAATTTATGAAAATTCAACTAAAACCCCAAAAAATTAATTTCCAACAAAAAAAATTCCAGATGCCGACCTCGTCGTCATCGGCGGTGGACCAGGAGGCTACGTCGCCGCCATCAAGGCCGCCCAACTCGGAATGAAGACTGTGTGTGTTGAGAAGAACGCGACACTCGGAGGAACTTGCCTGAATGTCGGATGTATTCCATCGAAGGCTCTTCTCAACAACTCCCACCTTTTGCACCAGGCTCAACACGATTTCGCTGCTAGAGGTGTGGAAATAAGTTTAGAAATTGGGGAAATGGGCTGAAAACAACAAAAAATGTGTTTCGCAGCTTTGAAAACCCTAAAAATCCAATTTAATAGCCATATCCAGATCTCTAACGCTTAAAGTTCTATCGAATCGAATTTCGCTGCAAAGTTTTCCGAAATTTTGAATTTTTCGCCTTGAAAAACGTTTTTCACATTTTTTTAGCTAAATTCGATAGTTTAACTACTTTTAAAACGCTCAAGACCTAAAAAATTGCATTTTTTGACGCTAAAGACCATGAAAAATGCTTCTAAACGTGAGAATTAAGTCGAATATTAATTTTTAAGCTTAAATCCGATTTAGGTCGATTTTCAGTGATTTTCACGGTTCTGAGCTGTTTTCTTTGCGATTTTCCACGATTTAGAACCTTCCACAGCGATTCTTCACGCTGGAAACTATGATAAATTGCTTATAAACGTGAAATTCAGGTCGAAAAATGATTTATAAACTCAAAATGGGTTTAGAACCATTTTTTGAGGTTCTTACGATTTTCAATTTTTCGGCGAGAATCTCCGTTTGTCAGCTAGAAATTATGGAAATTGCTTCTGAACGTGAAATTCAGGTCGAAGGCTGAGTTTACTACTATTTAGATTACATTTCGGCGATTGCTTCAGCCAAAAATCGGTTTTGAACCTAAAATTCAGGTTGAAAATGGATTTGTACGCTTAGAATCGATTTAGAAGCATTTATTGCAATTTTTAAAACAAAAATCTATGTTCAACTATATTTTTACAATATAGACCGATTTTTAGCCATTTAGAACAGTTTTCAGCGATTTTTTCCGTCAAAAACAGCCAAATTCTCTATTTCAACTCATTTTTCATTCCAGGAATCGACTGCACCGCTTCTCTGAATCTCCCAAAAATGATGGAAGCCAAGGCCACCTCAGTCAAACAGCTCACCGGTGGAATCAAACAACTTTTCAAGGCCAACAAGGTCGGACACGTCGAAGGCTTCGGAACGATCGTCGGCCCAAATACGGTTCAAGCCAAGAAAGCCGATGGATCCGTAGAGACTATTAACGCCCGTAACATCCTCATCGCCTCTGGATCAGAAGTCACCCCATTCCCAGGAATCACTATTGATGAGCAATCGATCGTCTCCTCGACTGGAGCTCTTTCTTTGGGACAAGTTCCAAAGAAAATGGTTGTGATTGGTGCTGGTGTCATTGGACTCGAGTTAGGATCCGTTTGGCAACGACTTGGAGCTGAGGTGACTGCCGTCGAATTCCTCGGACATGTTGGAGGAATGGGAATCGATGGAGAGGTGTCGAAGAACTTCCAGAGGACTCTGACGAAGCAAGGATTCAAGTTCCTTTTGAATACCAAGGTTTTGGGAGCCACGAAGAATGGAAGCAACATTTCTGTGGAGGTTGAAGGAGCTAAGGATGGAAAGAAGCAGACGGTAAGGATTAGGGAATAGTAAAGTTTCGGGGAGAATACAGTAATCCCAAAATTTAAGCTGAAATTTGGTCTGAAAATCGTCTAAAATGGGCATTTTGACATTTCCAGAAAAAAAACGCTAATCGAAAAATGTGAATTTCTAGCCAGAAATCGGTTAAAAATCGCGAAGTTCTGATTAGAAAATGACAAAGAACAGAATTTTCTGCTGGAAAGTTTGTTTTCTGCTGGAAAGTTGCAGAATTTCTACTAAAAAATCGGTGGAAAATTGTGATGTTTGATCAGAATATAGCAAAAAATCTTGAATTTTCACTCGAAAATCAGTCAAAAATCATATCTTTAAGGTAGAAATTGACCGGAAAACCCTGAATTTTTACTCGAAAATGGAAAATTCCTCAAAATTCAAATTTCAGCTCGAATGTGACACCCTTCTCGTCTCGGTCGGACGCCGTCCATACACCGAAGGACTCGGACTCTCCAACGTCCAAATCGACACCGACAACCGTGGACGCATCCCAGTCAACGAGAAATTCCAAACCAAGGTTCCATCGATCTTCGCCATCGGTGACGTCATCGAGGGACCAATGCTTGCTCACAAGGCTGAAGACGAGGGTATTCTGTGTGTTGAGGGGATCGCTGGAGGACCAGTTCACATTGATTACAACTGCATTCCATCGGTTGTCTACACTCATCCAGAAGTCGCTTGGGTTGGAAAGGCTGAGGAGCAGTTGAAGCAAGAGGTAAGAGTTTTAGGATTTTTCTTGCTGGAAATTGGCCTGTCTTGGCTCAATATTCACATTTTTGCATCAAAAAACGAAGCAATTCGAGCTGAAATTTATAATTTTTCGAGCTGAAAATCAGGCTGATCGGGTCACTTAAAAATTGAGTTTGAATTCAAAATCACAGTTTTTGGCGTCAAAAAATCCGGTTTTTAACCTGAAATTTTGGAATTTTTCAGCCGAAAATCGGGTTTACTGATTAAAAAACACCCGGAATCAAAATCAGAATTCGTATTTTTACAGCTCAAATTTCGGTACTTCGACGCTAAAAGTGCAGATTTTTGATTATAAAAACACCAAGTGTGACCCCAAAAATACCGACTTTTGGCTCTAAAAATACTAATTTTCGGCCCAAGAAATGCCGTTTTAGAGTCTAAAAATGCATGTTTTGACCTTAATACAGGTTTTTGAATCTAAAAACACCGATTTTCGACTATAAAAATACCTTTTTCGAACCAAAAATACCAATGCTTGACTTTAAAAATACCGATATTGAGTCTAGAAACAATGATTTTAGACCCTAAAAATACCGATTTTTGACCCTAAAACACCACTTTGGACCCTAAAAATATTGATTCTATCCCCAAGAAATACCTATTTTTGACTCTGAAAATGCCGATTTTGAACTCCAAATTGTGGATTTCTAACTCTAAAACTTTGATTTTTGACACAAAAAATACCTCATTTTGATTCCTTAAATATCAATTTTCGACCCTGAAACTCCCCTAAATGACAAATAAATCAAAATTTCAGGGAGTCGCCTACAAAATCGGAAAGTTCCCATTCGTCGCCAACTCTCGTGCTAAGACCAACAACGATCAAGAGGGATTCGTGAAGGTGCTCGCTGATAAGCAGACCGATCGTATGCTCGGAGTTCACATCATTGGACCAGTTAGTTTTTCTTTTAATTTAAGAATTTTTTGAATTCGGCGCTAAAAAAGCGGTGGAAAATGACAATTTTTCCGAATTCGCCGCTGAAAAATCGTTCAGAAAATGGCGATTTTATTGAACTCGCGGCTGAAAAGTCAGGCCAATAGCGGTAATTTTTAAACTTTTTAAATTTCAGGCTGAAAAAAAATCAGTCTAAAAATGATAAAACCGTAATTTCCAATGTTTCAGAACGCCGGAGAGATGATCGCCGAAGCCACGTTGGCTATGGAGTACGGAGCTTCAGCTGAAGACGTCGCCAGAGTTTGCCATCCACATCCAGTACGTTGAATTAATGGTTGAAAATCGCCGAAAATCGGCCTGGATTTCGCCAGAAATCAGTTATTTTCAGCTGGAAAAATGCTCTGAAAAATCGATTTTCAGACTGAAAAATCGGAAATGTTGTCTAAAGGGACTGAAAATTGCCCAAAAATCCAATCTTTTTTCGAGCTGAAAATCTGTCTGAGTTTTATCAAATTGAGCTGAAAATGGCTGAAATTTTTTGGACGAAGTTCAAGTGCTAAATTGAAAATTCCCATTATTTTCAGACCCTCTCGGAAGCCTTCAGAGAAGCAAACCTTGCAGCCTACTGCGGAAAAGCCATCAACTCCATCTAAATTTCACCTCTTTTTTCCCCATCCAATTATTGATTTTCCCCCTTTTCCATCCTCCCAAAAATCCACTTATTTTCGCCCCCCTCATTTCACCCCGATTTTTGCCTTTTTTGTGCTTTTTTTTTGTTTTTGCTCGATCCATCCCAGTCGTCTCACCCAATTAGATTATTTAGTAGAATTCGTAAAAAGAAGAAGAAGTCTCATAATGCTCTTTTATTGTATCCCGATTCCTTTTATTTTCTGTAAAAAAGTTTTGTAGGTAAAAGAAAATATGAATCGAAAAAATCCGATTTTTCTAGGAATTAGGGTTTAGAAGACGTTCTGAAGGCTTCTGATTCTGAAAGACGTCCTTTGGAGACTTCAGAATCTAGAAGACGTCATTAGTGAGCTTCAGAAACTAGAAAAACGTCATTAGGACTCTCCAGAACTCGTCGCTGAGGGACCCTTGAATTCAGATGAGGATCTGGAAGACGTTCAAATTCTTTTTTTTTTAAATGTATTCTTTTCATTTTTCTCGTTTTCAATTTTTTTTTAAACTTTTGAATACAGATGACGTCAAGGACGGTTCCAGAAGACGTTGGGGACATCCGGACACTACAAATGCAGAAACAGATGGAATTAATTTTTTTAAATCTAAAGTTTCATATTCAGAAGCTGCGGACATCCGGACACTACAGAGGCACAGACATATGAAATTTAAATTTTCAAAATGTTGGTTTAAATTTATATGACGTCGAGGGGTGCTCCAGAAGACGCTGAAGACATCCGGATGTACAGACAGATGGAAGTTCGAATTTTGGATTCTTGACGAAATTCGAACCAGAAATCACACAAAATCAGTTCTTCGTTGAATTTGATTTGGTAGAGTAGACAACGACCAATTAATTATTATTAAACGAAAAAAGAAAATAAAGAGAAAAAATTAGTGTATCAAAGATCCACACCTACTACCACTATCATCAATTAGTTCTTATCAATTTTATTTTTTCTTTTTTCTTGAGAAAAAAGAACAGTTGGAGAATGTTCAAAAATTTTTTAAAAAGAATTTAGAAATTTTCCTAAAAGGTACAAAAAAAACATACTTGTAACGGGCCGGGCCGGGCCGGGCTTTTTCCCGAGTTTCGGAGGCCCGGCCCGGCCCGGCGGGCCTCTCATTCCAAAAGTTTTGAAATTTTCAAAAAGCACATAAGGGGGGGGGGACCCTTATGTGATTCAAAATTTTTGCTTCCGGGCCTTCCGGGCCGGGCCCGGGCCTTGAAATTTTCCTCAGGCCCGGAATTTTACAAGTATGCAAAAAAGGGAAATTAAAATTGTTTTGAAAATTTTAATAGAAATTAAAGTTTTGAAACAGAATTTTTAAAAAAATACAATTTTAAAAACTTTGAAATTTCAAAAATTCTCTGTTCCATGAATGTTTCGAAATTTCGATACTGGGAAAATCTGAGGTTTTTTTTGACAGGATCCAAATTTTAAATTTTGATTTAAAAATGAAATTATTGAAACATTGAAAAAATTTTTTTTTTTTTGAATTTGAAAATTCGAAAATTTTTAATTTTTTGAAAATGAAATTCAGATTTTTCTGATTTTCTGGAATTTTTAGAATTTCTAAATTTCCGGATTCCCAGAAGTTAGTATTTTTCCTTGAATTTCTGTATTTCTGTATTTTTCTAAAATTCTCTGTTTCGAAATTCTGTTGAAATACCGATATTTTTCAAATATTTAATGCGTTCAATTTTTTTTCAGAAAATATTTTTCGATTTTGAAAATCTTCAAATTCAAAAAATTCAACTTTTTCGAGAAATCAAAAAAATATCATGGATTTTTTTCAACTTTTCTGAAACTTCTTCAAAAATTTTCTAATCTTTTTTTTAATTTTGAAATTTCAAAACCAACAAAAATTCCAATTGTTCATTCTAGATGACGTCACGACGTCGTCTTCTGAATCCCATTGATCTACCTATCCAAGGGCGTGGCGACCCGGTTTTATCACTTTATCACAGTGATTTTTTTCTCTTTTTTCGTTTTTCTGTTTCTCGTGATTCTTGATTCGATTTTCCGATTCGATTCAGATCAAACCCATCTTCTTATCTTTTTTTTCTGATTTTGAAAAAAAATTCGAAAAACTTTTATTTTTCAAATTTCCCCCAAATAATCATCCACTCAGAGTAGATTAGATGACTTAAAATATTTTCAATCTGACTTAAATTTTTTGTCGAATTGGAAATTTCAGAAGACGTCAACCCTTGTGGTTGACGTCTTCTGACCACAAGGGTTGACGTCTTCTTCTCCGTTTAATTCGATTCTATTTACAATTTCGTAGGCTTTTTCAAGGTTACTGTACTTAAAGGAGGGACACGAGACCAAAAAATAGGGGGTGAAACGAAATTGGAGGTCACTAGAAGAGGGAAAGAAGACGTTCTTGTTCATTCAGAAGACGTCGTAACCGCCTTTTTTTTTGAGGAAAATTGTTTTTCAATTTTCTCCTCCTTAGGAATCGTACTAAAAAATTCTGAAATTCTGACGACGTCAAGATGCTTGCACTTTTCATATGATTCCTATTTTTAGAAATTTTGAAAAAAAAACTTTTTTTTTGGATTTTTTTTTTGAAAAATCACATTTTCTACATTTTTTGTGTTAAGTGTCCTTCAAACATTAATTAAAACGATGACGATTTTCTAGGCCACAAACTCACAATTCTCATAGGTGGCCTAGGAAACCAGTTTGTGGGAGTTAGGCCATTCCAATTTTCAATCAAATTGACGCTTTCCACTATACTTTTTCGAGAAATGTCGTCTTGAATTTTGTGCTCAATTATCAGGGTTCCTTTAAAAGATATCAAATATTAGTCAACTGATAATGTGTAGAAAATATTATGACAAAATTTTTATCAGTTGACAGATTTTCGATATCTTCTATAAGAAGCGAGATAAATGAGCTCAAAATGTCGACTGTGTAGCAGCTGGTTGAGGTCTTGCAGTTCAATTGGTACCTCCAATGTTTAAGCCACAATTTGTAAACAAATTGGAGTTCTAAGAACTTAAGATGGTATGAGCTTATTCATCCAAAAAAGTTCCGTTGTGTACCTTTAAACTTTCTTTTCTGTTCCACGATATCGATATCATTAAAGTCGATTTTTTGAAAAATTATATAGTTTCTTAGATATCGAAACAAAAATAAGATAATTTATTAAAGAAAATTTTAACAAGTTTTAAAAATAGACGTAGCAGGTCCCAAACAATATTCTCCATTTTTTGGTGACGATGTTCATCCTTTTTCATTTTTTTTTTCTGAAATCCAGTATTTGTTTTTAATTGAACTAACTAGAAAACTTTATTTGGGAACCTCTTAAAGAGATCTCATAGTCCAAAAATTTTTCATTTTTTGAAGTCCCGCCACAACTTTAATTAAAAAGCAGCGAAACTTACATATGTTGGTGGATCGCCGTAAAGCTTCCGTTCGGGTTTCCTTGGAAGTCCTGAAATTAAAATTTTCTGAAACTTTCGAAAAAATTAGAAACTTACGATTCTCTTAGCTGAACATATTTTGGGTTCTTCTCACATTTTTTACATTAAAAGTATGTTTTGGATCCCAAAAGTCACTGATAGTGAATAAGTTACAGAAAATTCTAGAAAAATCAATAAAAAAGACACCAAACACAAGGCGTCAAGATCTCCGTAACATTGCTGGAGAGAATACTGAGGAAAATCGGGGAATTGTTTCGTTTTTGCCAGGAATCATTACACATTTTGCTTTTCTCTCGGTCTCCTGGAAATATGTGCTACTTCTACTAGCTATCTTCATTTGTCCTCATGTTGGTCAAGGTGGTGAGCAACAAACAGTTGTTGGGTGCTAGTGTAATTTCGAAAAAATTTAAAAAATTAGTTACTGTTTCATTTGGGTCATGTTTTTTGTTAGAAGCAAGGGTTTTGCTAAGACGGTAGGGTTAACGTTTAATATGTTTTTTTCGTAAATTCTAAATTCTCTGTCGTAAACTTTGAGTTTGAAATTCAATAAATTGAATTGCTCTTTTTTTTAAAATTTATCTCAACTTCTGCTTATTTACCTCGATTTTCGCTTGTCTCTCTATTTTACGAACTATCTTTTTCTGAAAATTTGGAAATCTAACCCAAGAGGAAAATGAGCAATTTTTTTACAGCTTCAAAACTTTGTTATCACTGAGCTGATACTGACAAATTTAATGGCAAATTCCAGAGTTTTCCAATTCAAATACTATCAAACGAGTAAACATGTCGGACGAAAAAATGACTTTTCTGAAACATACTTGAAACATGAATTAAGCTAAAAAAATCGAAAAATTTTATTCGACTTACAGTATGGCTAGGTTTTAGACCCAAAATGCATTTAGTAATCAAAAATTCTATATGATTTTATAAACCAATGGAAGCGGAAAAATTTAAATTACAATTTGACTGCAGTTATCTGAAATGCTGAAATTCTGAAGACGTCACAGAGATGTGTTCTCAAAGGTTCCAAGAGTCTTGCCCTTTCTCATGTGATTACTATTTTTGTAAATTTTGAAGAAAAAAAATTTTTTATCACTGTTTCACTTTCTCTCTAAATTTTTTGTTGTTTATTTGATGTTGATTATATTGATCTAGCTTTTGGAAAAATGGTTTTCTTGGTCACAAAAAACTGGTGGCCTAGGAACCCAAATTTAGGACATTGAACGTAGCCGCTACTCTATACTTCTACTTTGTAAAAAATTTATTTTTCCATATTTTGTATGAAATTTGGCCACATTCCGTCAAACATCCTTAGAAACATCTAGTAAAAGTTTTGACGCAATACCGGCTCTCGAAAAATAGTTATGTCGAAAAAACCTATCGTTTACAACCTTTTAGACGGTACTTTACATAAGTTACACGGTAGTAAAAAAAAAAGAATTCAAGCGAATTCTGAAATTCCCTTCTTCTTACAGTGAGGTTCACTAATTCCTTTTCTTCCTCGTCCATTTCATTAACCTTCCCTTCTTTGATTCTCTCTCTCTCTCTCTCTCTCTCTCTCTCTCTTTCTCTCTCTCTCTCTCTCTCTCTCTCTCTTTCTCTCTCTCTCTCTCTCTCTCTCTTCCTTCATTTCCTAATAGCCATTAATTTATCACCCACTCAGTCAACCATTCACTGAACCGCCCGAGAAAATAAGACGTCTTCTTTTTCTTCTTTTAGTGACCAAAAGAGATAGAGAAAAAGTTTAGTTCCTTTCCATTGGTCTCTTTCGGTTCCTTTACCTTAATCTTTGGTTTTTTTCGGTATTCCTCAGAAATTACTGCTTTCAGATTTTCAAAATGGGGTCGTTTGTCCTGATCCTTTGTGCACTTGTAGTTGTTAGCAATGGGATCCATGTAAATACGTAAGTTACTGTAAAAATTATTGCTGTTTTAAAATCAGCATAAATTTCTTTTTCTTTAATGATGACAGTGTTGGATTGGGATTCATCTGAAGTATCAACATCGAACTACCAAATTCCAGGTTTTGTAATTTACGAACAACCAAAATGTATTTATCATTCCGGACCATAAACAACCTTTTTTCTAAAATTTTCTTGAAACTGAAAAGAAGAAAACTGTTGGGAACAATGCTTCTGAAAACAACTGTTTATAATTTTATGAACTATTTGAAACTGAAAAGTTTTGCTTCAAAAACGCTCTAACGGAACGACTTCATACATTTACTCGCACTTTGAGCTCAATTATCTCGGTACCTATAAAAGATATCAGAAATTTGTCAACTGATGAAATGTTTGTCATAATATTCTCAACGTTTTTGTAATAGACCAATAGTTGATACCAGTTCAAGTGCACTGTAACGCTGGCTCAGCTACGCGGTCGTAACTGTTGAGGTAAAGGTGGTACGGTAGTTTCCTAAAAAATACGATGATTTTTCAATAAAATTGACTCAAAGAAAGAATTAGTTCACAGCATTTCGGAACAGAAATTCTTGAAATACATTTTTGTTGAGAAAATGTTCAAATCTCAATGTTTGATTTCTAAATCAATGATTTTTGAGACGAGTGCTGCAGTCATTAGATTCATTACAAAATAACTTGATCATACTCAACACGACAAAATTTCGATTTTAGTTTTTTATCAAAATTCAATATTTCGACAGACAGCGTACGAACAGAATAGTTTTTGTGAGCTTAACACAGGAACAACTTGAAACTGAAACCTACAGTACCGGCCAATAAGATACGGCCAAAAACGTATTTTTCAGTAAATTTATAGCCATTTTCCTTAATGGGGTTATTCATATAGCGAAATTATGTATTGAAATGCATTTCGGCGCCCTCGAAATTCAATGCAGGAACGTCGCGAAATGTATTTCACAGCATTTCGCGACATAACTGAATATGCATTGAAATACATATCGTGGCGCGATATTTTGTCGCGATATTTTGTCGCGATATTTTGTCTGGAAAATGTGATGCACCTTTAAGCTTTCTGAAGGATCGTGCAAATCTTTAAACGTGCATCACATTTTCCAGACAAAATATCGCGCCACGATATGTATTTCAATGCATATTCAGTTATGTCGCGAAAAGCTTTGAAATACATTTCGCGACGTACCTGCATTGAATTTCGAGGGCGCCGAAATGCATTTCAATACATAATTTCGCTATATGAATAACCCCATAATGGTCTGGAGCTCGACTTTGAAGTTTCCGATCACTGTGAAAATTTTGGTGGGTGTAAAACAGACCTAGAAACTTTGCATTCACAGATTTTCTCAAGATTCACTGTTTTCCCGCTTTTTGCAGGGTTTTGAGAGACACCCATTTCGACTCGTTTTTGTACTGAAATCGGAAGATAAGTTGAAAAACTAAAATTTTTCAAAAAAAATTGTAACTTTCACACCTTCCAAAATTAACAAATTGATCGGAAACTTGATTGTCGAGGTCCAAAATCCTGAATTACAAATAAAATTGAAGAATTAATTGTAACCATTTGGAAACAGAAATTTCTAAATATATTTTTTGTCACAATCAATAATTCTACTTCGAAATGCTTTAGATTCATTCTAATAAAAACCCAATTGTTTCCTTTCCATCAATGGAACTTTTTTGAAGTTGAACATAGGAAAAACTTTGAACTGGAATTTTTATTATTTTCCGAACATCAAAAGTTTCGCTTTTTTGTGTTTTTGCCTGAAGACCCCCCCCCCCCCACGCGGTCGTAAGCGTTGACTGTCGACCTACTCAGTGAATAAAGGAGTACGGTAGCTGCACGAGAGGCAAAGTTCACACACATACATAAGCATGAAGCGATCCCTCTCAAACTTTCAAACTCAAACTTATGATCATTTTTAACTCTAGGTAGTTAAACAAGCCGCAGTTTTTAAATGACCTGCATTCCAGCACTGGTTGCGGCACCTCCAAAGTCTGCATTTTCCGTCCCCGAGGTTGTGACCCGAACCTCGACTGCACAATCGGGGTGACCCTTTCCGTCATCGGTCCAAATCAGATGAAAGTTCAAATGGTGGCAGCGGTATGACCTTGATTGGAAGGATGTCAAATTTATTTTTCTTTTTTGCAGACCATCTATCCACCGGTACAACAACAATACGTCGCCATTGCGTTCTCTCATGATCGGGCTATGGTGAGCATTTTTAAAAAGCTCTGTTATCTCGGTTTCTATAAGGGATATCAAAAATTCCACGACTGACAAAGTGTTGGTGATGTTGTGATGAATTTTTTATCAGTTTGGCACATTTTTGATATCTATTACAGGAACCTAGATACTTTAGCTCCTAATTGAGAATTTAACTCTAACCGCATTTTGAGAGAATAACCAAAAGTACTGTACTTTACAACATATTTAGTCAATTCGAAACATTAAATTAGTTCAATTAGCGGTTTCAATTCATGATGAACTATTGACCATTTTACAGGGAAACGATTCGGTCAGCGAGTGTGTCATCAGCAATATGGGGGAATTCGTTGGTTACGAACCGGAAGTTTATGTGTCGTATAATAAAGGTATATAAAATGAAACTTGGTGATAACAAAGTTTTTAAAGTAGTAACATTTAGAAGTATATATTAGTGTCCGAATAGCAACCATATATTGTAGCAATAATATGACAAACTTTTGCAGTGAAAAATATTTTTTGCTTGAGCTAAAAATTCAAAATTTCAAACAAACCGGGCTTTGTACCCATTGCAACCGTATATTCAAGCTTACTGATAACCAAATGTTGAAACAGTAAATAATTTAGCTTGAGCTAAAATTCCAAATCCCCAAATCTAAGCTTCCAGGAAAGTCCAACGACCGTGTCTTCCTGAACGACGACGAGCATGCCGAACTTTTCACGGATTTGTCTGGAGAAGTAGTTGACACTCGGCTAGTTTGCGAGTTCACACAACAGATAATGCCTCAGATTGATAATAAGAATGGCTTGATTTGGAATCTGAATAGCCCTTTTCATATCATGGCAGCTACTGGATCAGCTCAGCCGGATGGTGGGTTTTGTAGTTAACAGACGATGAATACAAAACCGGAGATTCGGATTCTTTACCATTGTTTGACTAATTTAAGCTATTTAAAGGAAAATTTAGGTCATGGTGTACAAAATCCACAATTCGGTGATTCAAGTTCGAATCAGGTATTTTGTACCCTCGAATTGAGAAGTTTGTATCCCTAAACCGCTGCGTACCCCAATGTCCACAAAAAATTTATGGACCTTCCAAATTATTTGCCGTAAAAATAATAGTTTCAGTTTGTTCAGATGACAACGAAAGGATGTTGTCTCTCGTTAGTAATACAGATGTTGTTTCAAACTGAAATATTTCCAGAAGTCAATGCACATGAACTGAACCGTGATTCGCATTCCTTCCCAATCACCTCGGACGAGATGATCAATCCAGTCACTTTCGGGAATGATGTGGGTTCTCATCTTTCGAAATTTCTCTAATAGACTATTTCATTGGTTCAATCAATGAGCATTAGAAAAGACCTGAAAAACGAGAATCAGAACTCAAAATATGAAATTAAAATCGGTGGAACTGAGAATTTTGTAAACATTCAATGTTTTACCTTTTCCTTTAAAAATTGAAAACTAGATTTTTTATAATTTTGAAATTAATTTTAAATCATTTCATATTTCAGTTTGAGCACCCGACTGGATTCGCACCCAAAATCAACACAAATCGCATCGAGAAGCGAGTGATGCGTCCAACGGAAGCACCAAAATCGTCTGCTTTTCTGATACCTCTCATTCCATTCGTTCTCTCCGTCTTCTTCTTCTAGAATCTTCTGTGATATAAATAATTTCGGTGATTTATATTTTTTCGTGTTTTACGGGTTATGTATCAATAAAGGTTGTTTGATTTCAAGTGTTTCGTCCATAACCCTATGTCCCCTTTTTTTGTAAAATGATTGTATTCAAAAAGAAATAATTTTTGAGCTTGAAAAAAGGATAGTTCATATAAAAATTCGAAGTTTAAAACTGGTTAAAGCTAAAAATTATCAAATGCAGTTAAATGGATGAATGCTCGAAAAAATGTTTCATAAAAAATAAAGTTCTTGAAACCGTAATAAAAATTCAGTCTTTCGTGGTCATGGTCAATGTCTTGCCCTTATGATCAATTGATTAATGTTGATAAGTTGAAAAATTGTCAATTTTTATAGTAGAAAAGATTAACATATCGGATACAATATGAATGATACTTCTAACTTTTAACTTTGATCTCATTTTTGCTGATTTCTGTGAAAGATATCGAAAATTTGTCAACTGTTGAAATATTGGCGACATTATGATAAACATTTTATTAGTTTACAAAAATTGGATGTCTTTCACAGGAAGCGAGATAATTGAGCTCAAAGTAGACGGTTTGGGTTGACTTACAACTTTTTAGAGCATTTACGGTATTACTGTAGAAAATCAAGAAGTTGAATAAATTACTGTTTCGTTTTCTCGAAATAAATTTGAACATTGTTAATACTGATGATAATAGCCAAGGCAGAAAGGAATTATCATAAAAGAGGACCAAGTTTTGAAAAAAGGTCCACAATTTTTACTGTTTCATCTAGCCTATGACATTTCCATTGTTTTTAAAAATTGTTCTTTATTCCATAGAAAATTCTTCAAGAAAACTTTTGACAACAATTTTTTTTGAAAATTTTTTCTGTTTTCATAATTTCTTAATTTCTCTGTTTTTTCGTGGGTTTTGTTCAGTGCTTTTCTTAGGTCTATTGGCTTCTCAAAAATCGAATAAGTTTATTAAATTCTTGTTCATGAAAATAAGTGAAAAAAGGGAAAATGCAAAATGAAATGGCAACTGAATTAGGTGTTGTGTGTGTAGATATTGAGCAAGAATAATTGCAAAAATCATAAAATTTAAAAGAATCAAATATCAGCAACTTGTTCTTCATGGGTAGGATCTTCTACATGAGCTTCATTGTTATTATTATTTTCCTCCACCGCCAACATTTTTCGATTCTGGTTCTCCTCCATCAATTTGAAGTGCACTCGACAGTAGAGATCTCCAGATTTCTGACAGCGATGCGCTTTTTCGACTCTGGAAGAATTGAAATTATAATGTGTCAAAATTGATGTAATATTGGTCAATGTTATTCTGGAAATACTCATTCTTAGTAATGTGAATTGCTTGAAAACCTTAAAGTGTGTTCCTCTTTCAAAAAAATTCGAAAACTTTTATAACTGTATCAACTGATTCTTCAAAAATTACTGTTTCAAATTTATGATTATTTTGAAATTATCTTATTTTTTCAATACATACGTTATGTTCATTCGATTGAACTCACACTCACCTCAATGCCTGCTTACAATCAAAACATCTGAAACAGTTCACATGGTACAGTAACCCAAAGCACTGGAATTGTTCAGCCCTGTACACATTCTTGGTGCACAATGAGCATTTGTCGGGTGGTGGGAGGCAGAATCTCTGGAAGAATTGTTGGTTAGAAAAAGCCACTCATTAGTATTTTTTTAGGTTAAAGAGATTACTGTAACACATTCGTTTTGAGGCCAGTTATCTCGATTCCTATTAGAGATATCAAAAATCTGTTAACTGATAAAATATTGGTGATATCACGAGAAACATTTTATCTGTTGACCGATTTTCGATATATGTGATTGGAACGGAAATAATTGAGCTTAGCGATGAATGGGACTCAAACAGTACTGTTAAAATAACGGTTAAGGTTAATGTTAATACTGAAACAGTTAATTTTGGTTAGTGTTTCAAAAACTTTTCAAAATTTAAAAGAAAGTTAGATTCCGGGCACGGCAAATTTTGCATGGATTTTTGCTTGCTAGAGTCTTATCAAAAAGACAAATTTATTGTAATCAGTTTTTGGACAGACACAAAACAAAAAATGAATTAAATACGATCAGGAAAATTGAGGGGGGAAAAGCAACAAGGGTAATTTTTGTGGAGAGTGCCAAGGATATCATGGAGCCTGAAATTAGATGAAAAATAAAGGATCATAACTTTTCTCAAAATTGATATTTTGGGAAAATCAAATAAGGCGGAGGTAGAGGTTAAAAAGAACTATAAAATGGTACCAAATTCTTTGGGTTTGGGATTTGACTATTTTCATTTTCTAGGTAACTTTCATGCTTACATTTAAAGTTTCAGTTGTTTCCAAAAATTCAAAATTTAAAAAGTATCAATTTCGACTAGCTCTGAAAAAGTTTCAGTGATAATATGAGAACTGATGTAAGACCGAAAGAATTAAAATTCAAAACTTGGAACTCAAAAACACTTTGCACTTTGAATTTTTCAAAAAATTTCGATTTTGACGAAAGTGACAAATCAATTATCAAAGGTTTGTACCGCTACAGGATGAATAACGCGGCCATAATTTTTGACTTGAGTATATGAAGGAGTACCGTAGCTTACTGTACACCGTCATGTCAAAATACATACTTTCGTTACCATCAACATCGTTACCATCAACATTTCTACCATCAACAAGCCAACTTTCAAAATAAAGATTCGGGATTCAAATACGCTTGAAAAAAATGATTTGAAAATACGGAACAAGTAACCGCCACCAACCCAAAATACCATATCCCAAAGTGCAATAACCGACCCTCCCAATCACCAAAAAAATCCACGTACCCCATTTCCAGCCTTCTTCTCTGGCATCTTTCCCTTCTCGGCCTTCTTCGCCTCTTTCTGCTGAATCTTCTCCCATTTAGCGGTCATCTTCGACGCGTGCTCTGCTTTGATGGCCACGTCTTCATCGCGTGCTTCGTTTCCTTGAGAGGCGGCCGCTTCGGCGAGACGCTCCTCTTCCAGACGCTTCTGAGCCTCTTCTCGTTCTCCTGGAAATACATGTAGCTTTGTAAAAAGCGATCGAATTGAGATTATGATAAGGAATGTAGATTTGTGGAAATGAGGAAACCGGGGAAAGTTAATAAAAAAGTTATTTCTACCGACTGTCAAATTTAAACCTTAGCTTCGGGTATCTTTAAGTTCAAGCAAACATAGGTGCATCATCTTCAAAAAATCTATGTTTACCAAATGCAGCGAGGTAGTAAATTTTGTTTTCCGTTTCATGATAGTCATAATGATTTTGTGGAATATTGGAATCTGTATTTTTCGATAGGACGAAGGATGCAAATGATAAATTTTGATAACGAAGTGAAACTTTATAGTTCTTTACAGTATTCGAATATTGAAAATGTTATAGAAATATCTACGGAACATGCTAGTGAAGGACCGTTCTTCAAAAATGCGAAAAAAGAAACAGTAGAAAATTGACTCAAAATGTATAACCTATCGATCTTAAAAAACACTGCAAAATAGTATTCCTGTTTCTTGGAGATCATGAATGAGACTTCTGTATACTTTGATAATGACTGCAAGTTTCTATGTGATATAATTCTTGAAATGCTTCAAATGAACAAAGTGACCGAACGCGATAAGACGCAACCAGTGAAACAGGGAAATGGTTTTTTTTGTTCTGTTTCATGAATAACGTATACGAATGACAGTAATGGTTAATTGCTTGTTTTTTGAATCCGAAGGTATTTGATGAAAATCTTGTCAATATCCCATATTGAAATCCAATTGAGCTCAAAGTTCAACATGGGTTATGATGATACTATTATTATGTTTTTTTAAATTGTTTTCAGAACATTCCGAAACAGTAATTTTTAATTCCAAACATATGTTTTAAAAACTCACTCTTCAACGCCTCGAATTCCTCTTCCATCTGTTGTCTCTTGGCTTCAACAACAGCCGCATCAGCATCCGCTTCTCCACTATTCTCAAACTTGGCTTTAAAATCCTTCGCCGCAGTTTTCAAAGCTTCCAACTCTGCCCGATGCTCCGATGTCTGCGTCTTTTGATTTCCTGATTCTCCAATATTCTTGAATTTGTTCATCAGATTCTTAACATCAAACGCGTCATCGTCTTGTTCTTCTGGTCCATCATCCTCAACTGTTCTTCTGTTGATAACCTCAGCGACTGGCTTATCATCCTTCTTATCCCATTTCGATGGTTCTGTTGATTTCTTTTGGTTTGGAAGGACTGGTGTGGCTCCAGATGCATCGATTTGACGGAATTTTTCGAAGGCTTTTCCGGCCATCTGGAAATTCGAACTTGGTTTAGAATGACGTTATAATATTACCAGACTAATTTCTGAGTTTTTACATTAATGAAACCGACAAAAACGCAAAAACAAATGTTTTTTTTAATGTTTAGAAGTTTTTTAGTTAACCACTTGAGCTTATTTTAATATGATGAAGGGTTTTTGATGGGTCAATTTGAAATCAGAAGTTTCAGAACCAGAATATACAATGTCAATCAAGCAAAAAATCTTCACAGTATTGCTTTAAACGTATTTTAAGGAACAAATGTATAATTTTAATTTTACGATCTATCATCTGTACAAGAAGATGTCAAACCAGTCATTAGGAAGTCCTTGACTACTTCTGATCTACGCAGTCGCATATCAAAGAAGTTCAATATCCTTACCTTAACCTCCACCTCAGCTGGATTATACGCCTTCTCCACTCCGGCCGCTCCCTCTTCCTCTTCTTGTGCCTTCGCCGATTTCCGTGCCAATTTATATCTCTGGAACTCTGCTTCAATCTCTCTCTTCTTCAGATCAGCCCTCTCCTCTGCTGTCATCTCCGATTCATCCACAACTCCTTTCTCGAACGTTGCCTTGATATTTCCCAACTGAACGCCTTCTCCCAAATCCACTTGCGTCTTCTGAATCTCCACACCCTCTTCTCCTTTCTCGAATCGATCCTTGAATCCTTTAAGTTGAGAGAACTTGAGCTCATCCAGATCTTTGACGGTTTTCTCGACTGGATTCGCTGCATCATAGGCACTTCCAGCCATGAAGGATTTGCGAGCCTCGGCGGCAGCTGAAAATGAGCATATTCAATTTTTTTTTCGAAAAGATTCTAAAACACCTCTTGGCTTCCAAGTCTTCGTTGTGATATAAGTTTTTCTCACACACTTGAGAAGCGCTCGAATCGCATCACCGCCATCGTCTGGTATTACTTTAAGAAATTTTCATTGGAAGTATTTTTTGGGACAAATAGAATAACAAAAAGTGATAAGAGACGCAGACGATAGTGATGATAGGATTCTGAATTCAAAAAAAGAGATAAAAGTACCTGACGTGCTAAGCTCATCTTTATTCCAGCTACGCTCCACAACCTGGTCGTCGGTTCCATCGCGTTCTTTGAATCGGTCCTTCACGGAGACTCCGCCCTGGAAAATGTTAAATTTTGAGAAGGTTTTTCAGATCTCGTAATGAGTAAAATGTTGTTAAAAGTTGTAAGGTTTGTCGAACCGCAACAACACCGAAAATCCTGTAACAGAAGACAGCCTTAACTTTTAACTTCGAGCCTATTTATCTCGGTTCCTGTCAAAGATATCAAAAAGTTGTCAATTGATAAATTGTTTACCATAATATCACTAACATTTTGTTAGTTGGCACATTTTTGATATCTTGCAAAGGAGTCAAGAAAAGTTAGTTTTACTGTTTGCAAAGATTATTTACCTGGTCATGTTTTTGGCTTGGAGCAAGATAATAATTTGTAGAATTTATGCCGAAAACGAAAAATTGAAACTCATCCCAAATTGAAAAAAATGATGATGTAACAGTAGAATTTTCATGGATTTTTAGTCGTTAGGCCTATTCTCAACAAAAAAACCGCCTGATTGGTCTGTGGCGGTCTAACAACGGCTATCATCCCAAGCACTTTCGCACAGAACAAAAAAAATCTGTTTCACAGTCTGTATATCTATGATTTCGGTTGAAAAAGACATTGACGATTTCGATAAAATTGAAGTATGCATTCCAAAATGAGAAAATCTCCTTACAATTTTGAAGTTTACTGTTTCAACATGTCTAAGAAATTGTTCGGCTCAACCACAATCAACAAAGTTCTTGAATCTTTAACAGCATACTAAAAAAAACGAACCAAAAACTTAACGCTTCTCTACTTACTAGTTAGTATGTAACTTTTTCTCATAGAACTTATCGAACTCTATCATATCCATTTTAGTTTTTTTGTAATATTGGATCTGGACGAAGCTATGGTCCTCTAACATATCCACATTATGAACCAATAGAGCTAACTCATCTGGTTTCTTGTGAAAGATATCAAAAAAGGATTCACCAATAAATTGTCGCTGATATTATGATAAACATTTTAATAGCTCATTATTCGTTGAAATGTTTCACAGAAAATGAGCTAGATCGTAAAAAGCACTCACCTTCAACGCCTCCAACTCCTTCCGTTCAGCCGCTTCTTTGGCTTCAGCAGTCTCTACATTTCCCTCCTTCCACTTATTTTTAATATCTCCAACATTTTCGAAATTGAGCTCCACTTTTTGAGCCTTTTTGCTGTTTCTAATGATGTTCGGGTCACGATCAGCACTCTCACTTTCGTCATCGGAATTCTCGAGGGCAGCTCCGGAAATGAACCTGTCAGCGTTGGCCTTCACTTTTCCAGCGGCAAGTAGATCCTTCTCGATCTGCAAAATTTGAAAAAGTGAAATACAGGAAATTAGGAAATATCGGTTGGCCGCGGCCGGCCTTGGGTTCATCTAAAATCACTAGGACTATTCAGTTTCAGTTTATTTCCCTAGTCAATATTTCTGTTCCACCTAGTCAATGAAACTGTTTCAATATCTCTATTTTCCAATACTCCTCTTCCATTTGGCTGAAGTAACACAATCCATTCCGGACCACCTGGTTGGTCCGAAAGAGAGTGTCAAACATTAGTCACACATTTGTTTATATAAATCTTTTGAATACCTTCCTCTTTAATATAAACATTGAATCCTTTGTATTCTTTTTCGGCGGTTAGTCACCTATATTGGAGTCATGGATTATTAAAAACGATACCTATTGTTGAAATAAGATTAAAATATTTCAGGTTTTCATCGATATTGTATAAGGTTGGGACTCAAAGAAAATAATAATGCATCCTCGTTTAAGATGACAGTTCTCACTTTTTCTCCTAATTATCTCGGTTCCTGTCATAGATACCAAAAAATTGTCAACTAACAAAATGCTTATCATAATATCAGTGTTCTGTTATCAATATAACACTTATTGAAATCTTTTACAGGAAGTTTGTTGAATTGGGTCAAAGGTGAGGGGCCCTATCTATTTAAAGTTTAGAATTTATTGTTGTTACTTTGCGTACGCCAAACTGACACTTCTCAAAACAATATCCGTTTTATGAAAACTGTGAAATTGTAAAAAATTTGGAAGATAAGTTCATGAAATGATAAAGCTATAAAATTATTTGGACTTGAAATAAATATGATATGATATTTTTCTAGTTCCAGAAATTTCTAAAAGTTATCAGTTTATAGTCGTTTAAGAGATATTCTAGACATTGAAATTTCAAAAAGTTTCAGTTTTATAAAAATACTGAAACTGAACACAAATTGTCTGTTTCAGAAAACTTTTCAACTAACTTCAATAATATCGTTTTTGGTTGCTCTGGTTAGGCATTTTTATACTTATAAGTTGAGGTCATTTATCTCAGCTCCTTCAGAAGATATGAAGAATTCGTCAACTAATAAAATGTTTGTGATAATATCACCAACATTTTTATATTTGACCGTTTTTGATATCTCTCACAGAAGTTGAGATAATTGAGTTCAAAGTGCGTGGCTACCGACTGAGATCATGCGGTCATGTGTGGTACTGTTCTTTCAGAGTCCACAGTCCCACAAAAACCTTTATAAAAAACACTCACCTGAGTTTTCTTCTCAACATTATCCACTTCTTTGCAAGACGACTCGAAGTCACCCTTCTTCTCCTTCAACGACTTCAATTGTGCCAATTCATCATGAACACCACCGCCAGCACCAGCTGCAACCATTTTGCGAATAGAAAAGTGAATAATATAAATGTCTCAAGATCTTTATGATTTAGTTCCTCCTCTTCTTCTCAGAAGAATTTCGGATTGTTGGCAGTCAATAGATCGTATAGATGATATAAGTATGATGTGGTGTGAACTGCCTTTCTTCTTCGTTTTCCCTCCAAAATGAACCCCCACCCGAACGCGCGGCGCGGGAGAGCGCAACGGAATTAGGCGGAGTATCCTAAACGACGAGAGAGCGTGGGAATCGAGGAGAGTGGCAGGTAGGGCAGACTACGGCATACATACATACTCTCCGGTCGTTGCGGACGAACGGAGAGAGAATGAGGGATGCATTATTGTTATTATAAACATTTGGTGTGGATCGTTTAATGTGTGAAGGATGGAAGAGAGGAGAACGAAGGTTTTCCAGAGGGCTTTCTAGAAACTTTCATTAAAAATCACGAGAATTCAACTTTGAATTGAAGTCTTCATTTGAAGAACACATGTCACTAGTCAGTGATTAACTTCTGTTCTAGTCAAACAAATCTACTATCAAGTTCTAGGAACAGTAAATTTCTATTTTAATCGCCATTTAATCATAAAGGTCTTTATAGCAATGTCCTAATAATTTTGTCGAATGACTTTTCAGATACCAAGTTTTTGAAACGCGAATTTTTTAATGCGAACTTTTTACTATAAATTTTGTTTTTCAAATTAATTGAAGGCTTTTGTCTTTGATGATCAAAAAGAATGAGAATCGACGTTTTATTTGTGCACACTAAATTTTATAAATTTGAAACAGTTTACCGTAAAACCTCTAATAGAACGACACCCGGATCGTCCACTTTGA